CATTCTCTTACAAGTTTTGCTTCTGTATGCCGTCTTAGAAAGCATTTGGCAGCCCAAATAAAATAACTGAATAAGGACAAATTCTTTAAAGTATTTACAGGGTCTCACTTGACTTTCTGTTTCAGGAGAACAGTATGGAATTAGTTTTCGAAGTCATCTTAAATGAGAGGCTTTTCTTATTAAAGACACAAGGCAATAGTAAGAAATGTGCTACAGCACAGCTAGGGCAAGAAGGTTCCTGAAACCCTGAGATTTACTAAACTGTCTGTCTAACTGATTTTGTTCCAATTTGAATCTTACCAAAGCTGACCTCTTAACTTGTAGTAAAAATCTGGGATATTGCCAAAATCAGCAAGACAAAACCAGGACTTCTCCTTCACAATGGTTTGGGCATTTATTTTACCTAGATTATAGATTCTCAAGCAAAATATGTTGTTATCTCTAATTCAAAAGGCCATTGTCCATTCATTTTTTTTAAACTATTTTCGCCGGTCAATTCAAAGAACAAAACGTAGCTAGCATCCTTAGGGAAGCCACACAATGGGGGCTTTGTAGTTGTTCTCTCATCCAGAATGATGTCATCTGGGAGAGGAATCACCTCCATCTGTTCAAATGAGACTGACCAGTGCTTTCCCAGCCTGTGTGATGGATAAAACAGGAACAAGAACATTTTAGTGTAAAGATGTTTTAGGTTGATAGCCAAGGTTACGCCATTTGTCTTCATGATGCCTTCAAAGTTTTGGGATGGTAAACTATCTCTTACTTTCTCTGAAACCAAGAAAGAGAGAGAGGGGGGACAGGGAGACAAGGATTGACAGAGAGACAGAAAGAACAGAAACAGACAGAGATGCAGAGAAAGAGACAAAGACAGATACAGAGAGAAACAGAATCAATGACAGTGTGTGTATGTCAAGGTGGGAACCCTGAGCTTATCCTGAGAACACTCTAGGTTGTTCCTGGTTTCAATGCTCAGTTATCACACTGTCCAGTCACATGAATAACTGTGTGCACCATAGCTTTAGATGGTTTTACAGGAGACTGTATGGAACACCAGGATGAGAAGCAGTTTGTGGTCCAGGAGACTCTCATCTGAATGTCCATCTTGGGCCTTCTTCTCTCACAGCCCTTTCCCTTGGCCTTCCTTTAAATATCTGCTGGAATCCCTAGCTGCTTCCACTCTTTTCTGGGTCTTGACCTTGGAAGAATCTCAAGTCATTCTCAATGTGGCATGTTAAATGGTATCTTTTAGATCAATTCACTAAACGAAAGTATCTTTAAATTATTAGCCTAGTTTTCTCACATATTTTGACATTGAATGGTTAAGTGTGACATGAGCATCTGTTTACAAGGAGGTTAAACTAGAGGCTGCTAGTAGAGCTCGACCCTGTACAACTACATGACCCCTAAGGAATAAGTTTAGAGTCATATGCAGCGTTAAGGGATGCAGAAATTGTGATAGGCTGAATAAAGATCCCTCAAAGATGTCCGTGCCCTAATTCTCAGAACCTGTGATAATGTGACTTTCATATGAAGAAAAAGGAATTTTGTAAATATCATTAAACTGAGCACCTCAAGTTTTGAATTACCTGAGTGGACTTAATTAAATCATAAAATTATTGTAAAATCAGCAATCAAGACGCTAAGTTGTTTCTTAAGGACATGAACCTCAAACCAAGGATTGTAAGTAGTTTCTTAGAAACTAAGAGGCAATTAAATCCATCTCTCTTCAAGCTTTAAGAAAGAGCATTTTGCCTTTTGCCTTCTGGCTTCCATAATTAGGTGATAATAAATCTGTGTCACCTTGAGTCAATAATTTGCAAATGCAACTTTGTTATCCTGCTCCTTAAGAATTCTCTCAGTCACTCATGCACCCCCAGGAACCCTATGGAAAACAGTTCTCCATACTTTCCTCTGTCTTCCTTCCCTTGATCTACATACACTGTCCCTGATGTTTTAACAGCTCAATTGCCTAGTGCCCTCTTCACAAAGAACATCTGGAGCTATGCACTCCCATCCCACACCTGCCAATGCTAACATGGCCCTACGGCTCCTCCCCTTGTCACACCTCCACCTTCACCACAGCTGGCATTTGGTATTTGTTTTGGATGGTCATGTTGCCATGGACCTCGCCTCACTGCTATCAGCTTGATAAGTACACAAGCCTGATCTTGCCCACTCTTGTGGATCTGGTGCCTGGTGGCAAACACAAACAGCTTCTTGGTGGGTTAAGAATCCTCAGAATTCTGCAGGTCTCCCATGGTGGGCTGAGCTGGTGACATTGTGCCGTTCATTTGGAAAGGCAACAGCTGAGCTTGGGTCTGTGCTCTCCATCTTTGCTCACAGAGAAAGTGAGCCTGCCAGACTTCGCAGTAAGTCGCACGCTCCTGAAGTCCTGGGGACAGTCACCACTTCTCTTTCTGAGGGACAACTGCTAAAAATTGTTGCGTGCTGAATGGGTAACAGAGAAAACGGCATGCAGTTTCTAAAATATTCTTTCTGTGTAGCATTTGGGACTCTTTGTTTTTGCCTTATTTCTATTTCCGTTTTAATTTTAGTGCTGGAGAACTAATCATAAGACCACTAAGAAATCAAGAGTTTCTTGAGCGGGGCGTTTATAACTTCTATTATTTTGGATTCTCTGATTTTCACAGTCAAAGCTGATGCTATACTGGGGTTCCCGTAGGATGGAGAAGTGGGTAGCACTTTTGCATAGTCTCATTAAGACCTCGAAGAAGGAAATACAAGCGATATGGTTAGTTCTATTTATATGTGTTTCAGCCTATTTCAATGCTTTGTGTGTCTGTGGACATGCAGAAGAACATGTGTGTGGATGCATGTGCATCTGTGTGCACATGTATGAAGAGATCAGAAGTCACCTTGGGGGTCATTTCTTAAGCACCGTTGTCCTTGTCTTACTAAACTGGACTCACACTGCACTGGTACTCAACAACAAAACTATGTGGGCTGTGGCACCCCTCAGAGTCAAGTTTTATCTCATTTTCAGCTCCGGGATTACAGCTGTGCATTTACCCTTCTCAGAAGTTTTCAAATGTGGGGGTCTAGGGATCAAAATCAGGTCCCAGTGATTTCACAGAGAGCACCTGTGCCTACTGAGCTATCTCCCTACCCCTCAGTAATTTTTTTGAAAAAGTAAATTTTCATGAGTCGTAGAAATATGTACAAATGGTTCTTAAATAGTAGATAATTCCTCCCAATAATTATGCTATATTTTCTACATAGTTTGCACATACATGGCACTTTTATTTAAATTGGCTTTAAATTCAAGTATTTTAAGAACTTTTTTATTCTTGAGAATTTCACTGGAATATATCCATCATCCCCCCATTTACTCCACATTTATCACCATAGCCCCCCCCAAAGTCTCTCCCAAGTTCATTATTTCTTATTATTCTTTTCCTTTCCCCTCCCTTCTCCCACTCACCTCTCCTCCGTCTTGGTAGCCCCCTGGGTCCAATTAGTGCTACCTGTACATATGTTCCTCCTCATAAACATCTGGGCATAGATTCTAGTCATCTTTCCATAGGAAGGAAATTTGGTTTGAGGGATTTATGTAGAGCAAGTTCTTTAAGGCCCCAGATAGTGCAGTGACAGTGGTCTGCTTTCCTGGTCCAGATGCTCACAGTCTCCCTAGACTGCACAGTCACCAGGAACCTTCACTCAGCATAATTTTTGAGGGCTCATTCAAATCACACCAGCTCAGATTTCTCTGGGCCATTAGGCTCCACACTTCAAAATGGAAAACAGGCCAATAAATTGGGCTGATAATTTATTACCCAGAACCTAGTATGTTCAGAATCCCCCTTTGCACCTCTCAGAATTCTTCATTGCAGTGTGCTATGGGCATGTTTTCTATGGGAAGATAGCAACATGTAACTGTCACAGCAGGCACAGATCACAAAAGCTAGGAAGAATGTCTAATCGATTCACCTTTGACTTTATAAAACTTTTGTAAGACTTTAATGAAGACAAATTATTATGTTAGTTGATTGTCAGCCTCCTGTGTAGATACCTCCCCTTAACAAGATCATATCATATCGCAGTAGGGTAGAAAGACTGCTCCCAGTTCACTGACGATGAGGTGGAAAAAAGCAGGAAGGTCGCCCACATTCACCCCCAGCCTGGTTGGCTCTTCTCCCTTAGACATTAATCAGCCAGGCCAATAAGCTTTGCTGACTGTAGCGCCAAATGAGTCTTTCTGGGTATCTGGCAGATCCAGGATGAACGCTCCGTAAACTGATATTTGAGCAATTAGTATATCTGAAACAAAGAGTGTCTATACCCACAGCAGAGTCTGTCAAATGTCGCTGGAGGCATTGCTAGACTGTTTCAGGTCTATAGGACCTAACGGCCAACTTGTCTGCTTTCTTTTCCGCTGAATTTGTTTGCATTGCCGTGTGTCCATAACCATGAAACCAAAACTGCCTACTTGATTCCATGTTCTGTGCTGAAAAATACCCATTGCCCTTTTTCCTTTTTTCCAAAAAGAAAAAAAAAATGCCTTGGTGTGATCTGAAAGTTGGAGGGGGGGATTTCACTGTTGAGACTACATAAAGAAACAGCAGAACACAGCCGAGGGGCTGACAGGCGACATAAACACAGCACCTGCTAAGGCGCGGGGAGAAGCCACCTTGAGACTTTAAAACAGCTTCCCCAGAAATAATATCTTTATCCAGATACGTGGTCCCGTATGAATTATACTATTATTTTAGCTGATTTTCCCTGACATCACACTATGATTTTTTTCCGTGACAAGAAAATTGCAGCCAACCCTTGACAGTCAATCACAAATTGACTGAACAAAACAAAATCATACAGTGAAGTAATCCCCAAGCAAATTTAATGAAACCTAAATCCCGAAGGGCTGCGCACTTCTGTAGGCAATGGTCTTATTTAATAAGTTGCCCCTGCTTTCACTTTTAGGACCGTATTTACACAGACAAATTCAATTCATTGGGGTTGACTTCTCCTCTCCCCCTCAGTCTGCCCACCAGGCACGTATGGGGAAGACTGTAACCAGGTATGCCAGTGTTCAGCAAGGAACGAAGACTGTCATCCAGTCACTGGGAGATGTACTTGTCTGCCTGGCTACCATGGAAACCACTGTCAGTTCCGTAAGTACAGTCTGTGCAGAAGTGGGATTTGCTGAGGAGATACCAGTAGGACAGACTGTCATTCACAGTAAAGGGCGCAGGTGAATGAAAGACTCATCTCTATAACAAATTCTGTGGGATATTTTACTTGAATAGTAGAAAGCATTATCTTTCTACTCTCTCTCTCTGCTTTCCCCTTCTCCATCTCTCTTTTGGTCTTTCATGATCGATTTTTTTTTTTTTTGCCAAATTCTTCACAAGTATCCAATAAGAAAAGAGACAAAGAAAAAAGTATCAGAAATTATGTGCTTATCATTATATATCTACCGAGAACAAACGACAACATATTTAAAGAGATTTGAATGTAAGTTGATCCCATGCCTGCTTCGAAACAAAACTTAAGTGAATTGTTATTCTGTAAGGAAAGCAGTGACTTGGGTAAGTGACAAAACACCAGTTGCTCCTGGTCCAGTAGTGCGACAGCATCCTCCCTAAACTCAGAACTTTATATTGATTTTCTGGAATCATTTAACATCAAAACACGGTGATAGAAGAACGAACACACTAAAAAAAAGTCCCAAGGAGCATGTAAAAATGTTCAATCGACTATTTAATTTTAAGCTTGTGATTATTTATACTGCAGGTTTTATAGGTGTAAGAATAAAATGATTTGGCCTCAGTGCCATTGGTTCCCCCAAGTTGGCCATCGCTACGCCTTCCTCTAACCACGCCAGTCACCATTTTTTTCTGATCACCCAAATTTTCTAAAAGCTACAGATAGTATTTTCCAAATATCACTAATACATTTTAAACATTGACAACGAATGCCACAACTAAACATATATGAAAACTGTTTCAATTAATACCTTTTAGATCCATAGGGCAGTCATTCCAGTTGAAAATGAATAACTAAAACAAAATTTCTCTTAGTTTATGGCTATGATCAATCTCAAGCATCTTGTCCTAGAAAGGTATTGTTACATATCTCAGAAGAACTTCCTTCCCGGTCTCAAAGATATTATTTGTTAAGAAAATAATATCAGGTTACATACAACTTGGCTGTGTTTTCATTTCCAAAGATGAGCTACCTTGGGTTAAGGGAGGTAGCCGCACCTTGTTAAAGTGGAGCTGGCTGAGCCAGGAGTAGCTCCCTGCCTGTCAAGTGGGCTTAGCTCCAAGCAACACGTGGTTGAATACGGCGGCAAGGGTTCCTTGGCAGCATCCACTGTAATTACAAGACTGTGAAGAAAGACTCAAGAAAATAACCATAAAAGGTGTAGCTGGCTCCAAAGCCAAACTTCAGCAGCCAAGAACAACTGGGCTTTCGTGTTCTCAAGTTCAGAGGGGAGAATCAAACTTTTCTTTCAGCAGAGGTCAGAGGGAGCAGACAAACACACTGAACATCTCCCAGCTTCTTCTCAGAGCTGCTTGGGGTGCTCAGCCTGAGCGTGTGGCTCTTACATAGAAGAACAGCAAGGGCCCGAGAGTGGACTCACGGTCCTATGAATTCCATGACCAATGAGAGGTCCTACACTACTGTAGACCTTGGAAACCTTCCACTCCTCTTTCTGCCTGCCATTTAGAATCACCCTCATTTGAGTTCTCAGTCACTAGTCAGTTTTGTAAAATGGCCCCGTGCTTCAAACGGATGCTTTGGGAAACGTGGTGAGAACAGCTTTACCAGGTCAGGAGGATATGAAGGCATTCATAAATGCATTGCCCATGGTCATAAACATTCATTACGAGAAGATTTTCGTTTCTCCTTTTTCAGAATAAAGCCAGATTGTGTCACAATGCCTTGCCTATATGTGTGTAACCTTTTCAAATACTAGGCAAACGGCAGATTAACGCTAGTCCTTTGCTTGGGAACTCTGTGCCTCCAGATACAGAAGCAGCCTTGTTTGCCCAAGTGAAATGCCATTCACATGATCACAGTGTGTAGTGGCAAAGGGGCCTGCCACCAAGCCTTCAGTATTCAAACAAATGAGAACAATAAATTCCAAATTGAGTTGTTTTTTTTTTATTAGAGTCAAAGAAGGAAGGTTTTCTTCTGGAGGGAGAAAATGGTTTTGCAATGGAAAATAACCCAACAACCCTTACTAGGGAGACAACATTCCCAGGAAGAATGTAGCAAAGGTGGTACCACGCTGAAAACAGAAGGTTAGGAAAGAGGGGGGCCTTACCTTTATTATGACAAGCTTAGTAAAATCATTATGTCCACAGTGTATCTTGATAAGTTTAGTGACCCTCTGAGATGTGCTCACAAATTAAGAATTCTCACTTGCATGCCCCACAGAAGTGACCAAGAAAGTGGGATTGTCCACAAAATAATTAATTCTTGGATAAAAAGATTCCCACAACTTCTATAAACCACACACCACACTCGACATGTAAATTTAATGAATCGGTGACCCATAGACTTGTGCAAATAATGTCTTTTGACAGATAGTATATTTTTTAAATCAGATATAGTGTACTCATTTAAGAAGGATAATTAAACTGAAGGATAAAATAATGTGGTTTTTTCTATTTATGACAAAAAAAGAAGCAATAGTGATTTTACTAAGGACAAGGCAGGGATAATATAGCTGCAGTGGTGTACATCCCAGGTGGAAATGGCTGTCCTATAGCTTCAACTCACTAGGAAAGTATCTTAAAATCTGCACTTAACATCTCTTAGACACTTTATGGGACACTCACTGTGCCATTCTTCCTGGTCAATGGATGCAATGCTTCTTTATACTCAGAATGGTAACCATAATTATATGTTCATTTTTATAAAACGTCTCTCTTTGTAACGTGAAGCTCTTTCCCCTTACTTGCCCAGATCTCCACACCATGATTCCCTTCCCAGTCAGAACTCTAGAGACTTCTAGAAGACCTACTACCTCTTCAATCTCCTTTGAGGAGGCAGCATGCCTGAGGAGCATGCCTGACCACACTGGTTCTGTCTGTACACCCTCAGGTTCCCTGTGTGTTTTCCTCCAAACATTTCTCCGCATCATGCATTTTTGTCAATCACTGATTTTATAAAACTATGAAAATCACATTCCGTGAGACACACCCAGTTAGACCTGCAGGAAAAATATTTCTATCTTAATAAATGGAAGATGGGGACAAGGATGCATGGTCTTGCACTAACTTCATGCTTACCGTTCTTTAATACATTTTAGAGGGGAAGGCACCTCAGGAGCACTGGCCTCCACTAAGACTGCTGTGAGCACTGCTGTACTTTAGAAGTAGGGGACAGCAGAGGGGATCCAGCCCAGAGAGGAGTAGCGCAAGAAAGCAGCTCCGACAGAGCCGCAGCCTTCCCTGTGCACAGGGCTCCGGTGTTTGCCTTAGTTCCCACCACGTGCGATTTTATTGGGTTTTTTTTTGGGGGGGGGGTTCTTTTCTTTTTTTTTGGGTTTTTCGAGACAGGTTTTTTTTATTTTTCTGGAAGGCAAAGGAGGAAGATACAGGTGCTTCCTAAGTCTGTAGTCAAATCTAAGTCTTCGAAGAACAACTATGGTTTTGGAGGCAGGCTACATGCCAAACTTGTAAAACATGTGTCTCTGACAAAAAGACCCTCTCTGACCAATCTCTTACATGGTGTCATCATTATTATTACATTAGGTGTCACCTACTTTAATTATTTTTCTCTTATTGTGATAAATATCCTGACAAAAAGTCCCTTAGCAGGGGAAAGGATTTATTTTTAACTTACAGTTCCAGAAGAGGACAGTCTATCATGGCTCTGAAGGTCTTCAATGGGACCATAAGACCAGCCTGTCAGTAAGAAGAGTAGTTACTTTCCATCCACACATGAGAGAGAAAGACAGAGGGAGAGAGACAGACAGACAGACAGACAGACAGAGACACAGAGACACAGAGACAGAGACAGACAGAAACTAGAAATTGAGATCAAGCTACAAAACATCAATGCCCAGCCCAGTGATGTACTTCCTCAAGCTAGGCTCTACTTCCTAGGGGTCCCATAACTTTCCAAACGTTACCTGAGAACCGAGTATTCATATATATGAACATATGGGAAACATTTCTTCTTCAAACCACAGTGCATGCTATTGTCTGTGCATGCATTGAGACAAAAAATGGAAAATGAAAAACTAAACAAAAATGAAAGGCATTCTTTACACCTGGTGCCTTTTGAATTCTTACATTTATTAAACACACCAAGATCCTTTTGGTCAAAACAAAATATATTTAATTAGTAAGGAAGGGGTGAATTTGAATTTGCTTAGATTATAAGAATGCTTCAGAGGGGATGCCAGAGAAGCTCAAAAGATATCTGATGATTTATCAAGGGACAGCACGTCATATAAAATCTGCCTGTCTGTATATGCATATATATATGTATGTATGTATGTATGTATGTCTGTACTGTATGTATATATTAGCTATTGTTATGTATCTATTATCCAAAATTCTGCCTATCAATCTCCCTGTCTTTCTGTGTATTTACCTATCTATCACCATGTTTGAATCAGTAGTTTGAAGGCAGCTAAAATCATTAATGATAAATAATTGAAATACTGAGTTAAGAAAGTTTGAACACCTGAATTCTTCAAGTTACAACAACACATGAAATTTTGTTCTCCTGTGGCAGGGTGCCCAGAAGACACTTATGGTCCAAACTGCCAAGAGACATGTAAGTGCCAGAATGGGGGTCAGTGTGAAAGCACACTGGGCACCTGTGCCTGTCCTCCTGGCTTCCTTGGAGCAGACTGCAGTCAAAGTAAGCGATGTGCACCTGGTCTTTCAGTTGGCGTCCTTGTCTAGTTTACGTTGGCTTTGAACTTGTGGCTGTCCTACTGCCTTCATCCTGTACTTACGGAAAAGATAGGATAGCTATTCCAGTGTCCAAAGGGTACAGCAAAATACTAAAGCATAGTTCTTAATACTGCAGTTATGAGAGTGAACGGGGGCGTAATACTTTACCTGGGGATTTCTTATAGGGATGGCAAATACAAGCTGATCTAAACCATAGGTTGAGGACTAATAACATCAGATTTGGGTTCAGAGTTGAAGTCATCATAAGTACCAAAATAAATATGTTTGCAATAAACCTTTCTACCCAAAAACACTGTACTCGAGTCAGGACTCAAAAAATCATGTTGGGCAAGGTCAGCATAAGAATTTTTGTGTTCACATTGTCAATCTTGCCCAAAATTCCAGAATTTTAACTATACTCAGCAAGTTTATGTCTTAACAATAAGTAATCTCTCTATTCATCAAAAGGAAAATAAGCACAAATACCTTAATTGTTCTTATCTGTATCAAGTGTAAGGGACAGAGAGTTGAAGATACCTTTAAAATGCACATGCTTGGAGCCTGTGAGTTTGTGCCTGGAAAACATGTCTCTTCTGTCGTCAGACCCACCAGTTCTAAGTAACTGGGTGGTTTCTACTTCCACCAAATAACTAGCTGAACACATGCCCTCTGATGCCTCTGGCCCAGGTGGTGACAATTATGTCACCCTTGTGTCTGAATTCTGGATCACTAATGATCTTTTCAGAAGATACAGGAGGTAGTGAGAACAGACTGAAAGGGAGAGAGAGAGGTTGGAAGTAGGGCTAAAATATCTAGTTTTTAGACAAAGGACTTGAGATTGGGTTATTCACTTTTGGGTCAGTCATTAAAATCATATTATCACCAGTGATCATTAACTTCACAATTAAAAGAGAGAAGCAGCATTAGTACGGATTTAAATTAAAAGTAGATGAACTGCAATACCTTTAATTCTCATTCATATGTGTACATGCATGTGTGTGCACTTTCACATGTACATATATACATACAAATACACATCTATACACATGCACACATGAACATACACACATAGATACGTATATACACACGTACCACACACATGCATACACACATGAAAGCATGCACACATACACAGATACCCAAATATACATACATACAGAACACCATACACAAACATGCATACACACATGCATACACAAATAGAAACACATTTGCACTCATACACATATGCATATACACATATACATATACACATACAAACATATACAGGTACAAATAGACATATGTACATATATACACATACACGCATATACCATACATAGACAGACACATATACATATACCATACATAGACAGACACAGATATTCATTCATGTATGTGCACACACACACACACACACACATACACACTCAGAGACATGCATGCAAACATGCCCTGCATTTAAGGTCATTTAAGGAAGAGGAGTAGCGAAGTTTCTGTTAATTCAGGCCATTAAGCTGGTGTAAGCAGAAGATGCTTTCCTTGCCTGTGCTTCCCAGGCAGGTGGCTGTTGCCTCTGACTTACATAAACACAATGTCCTCTGTTAATTGTCCTGTGACAGCAGCCCTCAGTACCAATCATAAAAACTTACTAGGACAAAGTATCAGATCCAAAGAACTGATGATTGACACCTACTGGATAGTGCCCTGTGTTCCCAACTGCCAAGTGATCTTTGAGGGAAAGCCATCCCATAAACACGTCCTGAGGAAGGTACTGGCTGGCTCCTTTATGTCATTCTTCAAAGAGAGTAACTGGGAGAAATGTCCCCATGCAAGAGCGTGTTCAAAGGCTATGGTTCCTGAACACTGGGAACACGTTGTCTTAAGAAATCTCTGATCTTGTAGGAGCCATTTTCCTTGTCTTGACAGATTGGTAGGTTAGAGCCAAGTATGCAGCCTGCCTCTGGCAAGGCCAAGTGTTTTTTTTGTTTATCTTTACACTGTTACCACGCAGCCATCTCAGCTGGTTCTTACAGATGTTCCTTTTATCTTTGTGGGTCATCTGTTTTCAGCATTCATCTCAATTCATTTTTTGGAACAAGACAAAATAGATCAGTAAGTCCAAAGACATAGATAAATATTTGAAAATAGGAGTATTGTGGATCTTAGGTTGAGGTTAGGAGTATAAAGTAAGATTCCAGAAAGGACTTAAGAGAAAAAAAATATTCAATTTGGCAAAAATCTTATGTGTGTACTGAAAGTACAACTACACACATATATACACACATATACACATGTACACACAACAATACCATACAAATGCATATATACACATGCATCCCCATACACACAAGCACAGAAATACACATATATACATACTCGCATTCTCTTTCTCACACACACATACACACTCAGAGCATGTGTGTATGTGTGTTTGTGATGTGAGTGTGGGCATGTACGCATACATGTACCTGTATTTAAAGTAAGACTGGAAGCTTTTGTTTTGTTTTGTTTCGTTTTGTGTTTTGTGTGGTGGCGCACTCCTTTAATCCCAGCACTTGGGAGGCAGAGGCAGGCGGATCTCTGTGAGTTCGAGGCCTGCCTGGTCTAGAAGAGCTAGTTCCAGGACAGGAACCAGAAGCTACAGAGAAACCCTGTCTCGAAAATAAAAAAAAAAGTAATAATTTATTTTTATTTTATGTGCATTGGTGCTTTGCCTGCATCTATATCCATGTGGGGGTGTCAGATCCTCTGGAACTGGAGTTACAGACAGTTGTGAGCCGCCATGTGGTTCCTGGGAATTGAACTCAGATCCTCTGGAAGAGCAGACAGTGCTCTTAACCACTGAGCCATCTCTCCAGCCCAGAAGCTGTTGCTTTTAATTTGCAAATGAAATCTATCAGGTATGAGTTTTGAAACGAGATGCAGGCTTATGTATTCCATGTTCCAGCCGAAACTATTCTAAGAAAGCAACAGCTTGGGGCTTCCTATTTGTTTTTCATATTTTAAAGTAGCTTTTTAGGTTGAAAATTAAACTGTAGGGAAGTCATCAAGATACTGGATTAGGAGAAAGGACCATATATTGACAAGTGTCTAAAAGTCTTGAGTGGCAGATGTCCAATAAGCAAAATAAACTTTGTATGTCTTTATTTTGATCTTCCGTCCAGCTTGTCCTGAAGGTCATTATGGACAAGATTGTGTCCAACGGTGTTTCTGTGGCTCAGGAAAGTGTGACCCAGTGACAGGAAGGTGTCATTGTCCACCCGGCCTGATGGGATCCAGGTGTCGGCAAGGTAAGAAAGGCTGCTGAAGATTCACCTCAACAGTCCAAGCAATAAACACGCTGAAGTAGGACAGGACGGCTGCTGCTCCACCATGGCATGATTTGCCATGCTTTCTTTAAAACGAGGCTTTAATCACATGGCAGCAGGTTTGTCTGTCGCACTGCTGAGCAACAGCCTCTTAGAAGGCTCCAGAAATTGATATGAGGGGTCTGAGAGATGGCTCCGGGGTTAAGAGCACTGACTGCTCTTCCAGAGGTCCTGAGTTCAATTCCCAGCAACCACGTGGTGGCTCACAGCTATCTGTAATGAGATCTGGTGCTCTCTTCTGGCCTTCAGGGATACACGTTAGGCAAATGCTGCATACATAATTAATAAATAAACCTTTAAAAGAAAGAAAAAGAAATTGATATGAAAATGATTTATGGATACTCTTGGTTAGGAGGAGCAATTTAGGCAACAGGGACCACTCTTGGAAACCTTTCTAAAGTGTGCCAGAGGACTTAAATTACAAAGAATTCGACATGCTCCAACCTACAGAGGCCCGCTGTAAGAAAAACAGGAGACAAACATGCAAATACAGTCTGTGTTGAAAACTACAGCCTTGCTTCTCTGAAGTCTTAACATTGATTATTATCATAATTAAAATTTTAAGCCCAGAAGAACCATCAGCTCTTCAGGGCAAGGAGTTATAGTGAGAGCGCTGACTGTAGCTCTCCGCTGTGACCTCTGAGCTAGCAATCTCCCTTGCTGTTCACAGAGGGATAAAACGGTAATTATGTGTGGGTCAGGGCTGTGTACCAGGCAGGCTGTGGGAACAAACTTAATCTCCCTGGGCATCATATACTACAGAAAAGACACGAAATAAACAAATATAGGATAAGTGCAGCTTGGTACAGACCGGAACAAGCTGGAATCTATAAATGATGGCTAAACAGTCACAAACATATGCATATGTATACACAAATACACATACAGACACACATACATAGTGTGAAAACATACACATATGCAGGCAAGGGAGCACAACTACCATAGAAACACACAGACAACACAAATACCATACACTTGTACATACCTACACAGATACATATGTACACATGCATTTCCCACAACTTGTACACATGAGTTTCACTCTAGACCAAGAAAACTTCCAGATTGTTGGTACTAGCTTTTCAGCCCCGAAGCCACACTAGCCCTAAACAAAATAGCTGGTGAAGAACTATAGAAATAATCCCCAAAAGATTTCCTGAGTAAATTGGGAGCGTGGAGGTCACAGGAGATGGTAGAGGAGGAGAGGGGAGGAAGGGAAGGGAGCAGAGCAAACTGTAAAAAAACAATAATAAAAACAATTTTAAAAAACTAGCCAGCATAGTATTACAGTATTCTTTAAGAAAGAAACACACTGGCATGGGGGGTCTGGAAAGAGTTGTAGGATAAGTATAATATTTTATTAAAAAGATTATGTAATTTCTTATTAATAAAATTTAAATATCCCCCCAAAAGAAAACAGCTGGTTTATAAAGTTAGTCGATGAATACATCTCCCACTTTAGAAACAAACAAACAAAAAAACCAAAGTAGATGGAGTTCTGTTTGCTTTTTAGTGTTGATTCTGCAGGAATCACGAAACAACACAAGAAAGTGGAGAGTAAACTGAAGAGCTCAGAAAACAATGAAACTTAGACCCCGCATCATGCAAATGAAGGCCACATTAACAGCAGGGCCTGCAAAAATAGAGGAGCTCATCCGTGCCTGCGCAGGCGGGAAGCGTGTGATGAAAGGAAGGGGAATGGGAGAGCGGCGAGGAAATAATGGAGGGAGATGTGGAAAAAATGGGAAAGAGAAAAATGCGCAAATATATGACTCAGAAATGAAAGAAGTTTGACTAAAACCTCCTGTCCTCGGAACTCTGCTGAGGATAAGAGGGAAGTCTAAAGCCATTGTGAGGGTGCCTGTCTGGAGTTTTGTACCTCACAGCAGAACTCAATGCTAGCACATGATTAATCAATGTGTATTCATATCTTGGAGAAAAAATGTGATTCAAGTATTTTATTCACAGTTAAGCTTCTTCAAATATAGCATCGTGATAAATCAGCAGCTATTTTTTGAAATAAAATGTTCCTGGAAAAAATGATATTTTTAAATTTCTTAAGGGGCAGCTAAAAGATAAATCCGAGAAACAAAATAAATAATGAAAAATATAAAAAATATAGTAACGGGACAATTAATAACATCAAATTCAGTTTAGTTCGTGCCAAGTTTAAAACAACACAGCCATCATGGTGATGCAGATAGATGTTAGAAATTATGACAATATGGAGATTTCATCAAACATTGATGATCCATAAATTGAAAAAATCGAAGTGAAAGAAGGCAAGTCTACTGGCCATCCTTCATGGAAGCTTACAGGGTAGACAGCACCAAACTCTGTTAGTATATGTGGTATAAGTCTGACAACTCAAGTATTTTAAGTGTTTCATTGAAAACTCCAGAGTTTTGACTGTTGTAATTGAAAATATAAGACTTTTTTTGATTTGGTTTGGCTTTTGATTTTTTGTTTTTATTTGTTTTTTCAAGACAGGCGTTCTCTGTGTAACCCTGGCTGTCCTAAAACTCACTCTAAACCAGGCTAGCCTCAAAGTCACAGAGATCCACCTGCCTCTGCCTTCTGAGTGCTGGGATTGAAGGTGTGTGCCACCACTGCCTGGCTAAGGCTAAGTTTTATCCAACTAAAATTGGGAGAAAAGAAAAATAAAATGATCTTGATTACATAACCATCAATACTGGCAAGCCAGCATAATAAAGACATTTCCATGTTGTTTAACGTCACATTCCCTTTCTAAACAGTCCCCAGACTATAGGACTCTATTTCACAGTGATGATACACGCTCACTTCTCTGTAAGGGACAGAAAAAGAAATTATGCGAAACATGACTCATAAGTGAATCTAAAATCATGAGTTTCACAGAAGTAGAAAATACAGTAATTACCGGGGACTGGGGTGGTTGTAGCTGGAATGGAAGAAGAAGGGGTTCATATTAGTCACAGAGCACAAGCTTACAGGTAGGTGTAAGGACTAATTTTTACAGGTCCCTTACATGGTAGGTAAATACACTGATTGATGATAGACACCATTTTTGAGCACATAAAGAGAGTAGGTATTATGTGCTATGGCCAAAATGAGACAACTAGGGCAGGATTCATTTACATACTTCAATCATGGTTTACACCGTATGTGACGATTTAAATGACAATTGTCTCCTCTAGGCTCTAGGGTTTAGACACTTGGTCCTCAGTAGGGGACATTGTTAGGGTGGTTTAGAAAGACTGGTCTTGGTGAGGAAGGATGTCGCTGAAGGTAGGCTTAGTCTTGCTGATGTGCCTCTGTTGGCCTTCAGCTGGACTCATCCCTCTGACACTGTCGCCCAAAATAAACCCCTTTTCCATAGACTGCTTTTGAATATGGTGGTTGATCATAGCAACAGAAAGCTACACAATAAAAAGTTTGTAATTGTAAATTGTCCCTATTAATTTAAGTACATAGAGAGGATGATAGATGAAGATAGATAGATAGATAGATAGATAGATAGATAGATAGATAGATAGATAGATAGATGGATGGATGGATAGACAGACAGACAGACAGACAGACAGACAGATGCTCTAGACATACTTTGATCCCTTGAATCAATGTAAAATATTCAAGCATGGTGACACATGTGTAATCTCAGTAGAGCAATATGCGGAGATCCCTAGAGATGCTGGCCAATCATTCTACCCTAACCTCGACCATCAGGACAAAAAGAAACCCTATCTTAGGAGACACATCGTGGTCCTACTGTAGACAGGGTTTGTGTTGATAACGTGACCCACATTGACCTCCAAAGGCCATTAGGATGTTCACCGTCTGTGCTGCGGTCTGAGGCCATGGTGACATCAAGGCTGTGCTGCCACTGAGAGCCATGCCTGGATCCTGGATCCATAGTTCTGCTGCAGCTGGGAGCCTTGTCCATGGTCTGGGCTTTCCCCAGAAACCATGTGGAAGCCCAAGATCCATGTTCCTGACGACTGTAAGGAGCAAGGAAACTATCTTTGCAGAAATATTGGCCTGCAGACAAACAGTTGGAGACAGGGACATTGATAGCATATGTGACTCTGCCTTCACACCCATCCTAAAGTGCAAACTAAATGTAACAGCCTGGGTGGGAAGCCTTCAAAAGAACTCTTGAAAAGTTTGGATGGGATGCTGAAGCTTAGCTCTCTATGGTTAAAGCTTTCTGGCGGGGACTTTTTTATTTTGTGCTGGGAGGGGAGATATGGGTCCATGTGGGTGTGAACTTGGAAAGACTGGGAGGTAAGTGTGATTAGGGTGTATGATGTGAGCTTCCCGGGGAATCAATAGAAGTGTTTGGTTGAAAAGGGAGATGGGGGGATGGCTCCTGAGGGTCAATACTTGGGTTGGCCTCTGTCTCCCCTACACATGCAGAGAAGTACACAAGAACAATAGCACATATGTGAATACCACACACTGTTATCTGCACAACAAAATAAAAACCTTCCCTATAATATTAATTTTTTATTCATTTTGCATACCCACAGATTCTTCTCTCTCCTGACCAACTTCCCCCCAATCTGCCCCATAAAAAAAAAAAGAAAACCTTCCATTATTTGACCAGTAACAACTGGTCCTTTATCAGATCTACACAGGCAAGTGCCTCCACCGTGTTCAGCCATACATTTTGCCTTACCTTAGCTGACATCTCATGCAGATTGGGGTCTTTGTGTTTGTTTGCTTTTCTCCTTTTAAACACACCTACGTTTTTTATGCTAGCTGGAATTAAAAAACAAACAATAAGAAACAGATATTCCAATATCTCTCCTGCTATTGAAACTGAAAGTAGGCTTGGTTAGAGGTTTCAAACTTGAGTCTTGACTTCTGACCTTATTGGTTGTCTAAGTCTGCACAAGGCTTTTGTCTCCAAGCTTCAGTGTTTCCAAGAGAAAATTAGGAACACTGGTACCCACATCACAGGGGTGTTTGGGGGCATTAAATGAGATAATCCACGTGTGAAATACCATTATGTAGAGACTCCATAAACTGGAGGTTATAAATGGTAGGCTCTTGGCCAAATTTAGCCACAAATGTGTTTGCATTGGCTTCAGAATATGCCTTCCATGCTGTTATAAAATGATTTTAATTAGTTGCCAACTCTCAAAGATTGGAGAATTTCATGTAATATATGGATAGTGAATTTTCCTTAAAAGATTGTATTAGATGGTAGTGTGGGGCCATATTTTTATGGCAAAACTAAATAAATATGAGAATCATCCCCATCTTACAGGGGCAGTCATTTCACATTGGTGGTGCTTCCTGATGTTCCCCTGGCATGGATAGGAGGGCCCTTCGGCCCACTTCTCTTCACTCATTGGTGCCTTAGCTTCTGTTGGCAGTATGTTTGGGTACTACCCTCCTACACTGAACAGTGAAGCACCAGAATATTAAAGAAAGAACTGCTCCTCTTTCATCGATTTTGAGACATTGTATAAACTATTCCCCACCATTGGTTGCTTCCTCTATGGCTATGATAGAATATTCTGACAAAAGCGACTTAAAGGAGAAGCGTTTACTTTGGCCCCGAGTTCTAGGGGACATTCCTAACTGGAGGGAAAAGTCACGATGGCAGGGGTTTCAAGGAGCTGGTCATAGTGCTCTGGGGTCAAGGGCAGAGAACAGTGGATGCTGCTATTCATGTTGCTTGCTTCCCATGCAACCCAGGATCCAAACCAATAGAATGATGGCTCCCTAATCAATTAGCCTAATCAAGCGAGTCACCGGCACATACAGAGGCCAACCTAAACTAAATAATCCCTCAGGTATGCCTACTTCTTTCCTGAGCACCCTGAAGTCAACAGTAACCATCCCACCTCCTGACCCAAATCTCTGCTGATTGTTCCACAGGCAAGCCCTAGGTGCCAGTATCCTAGGCACACAGGACCAGCCCAATATGTTTACGGGGTGACTGTGAACTGAGTGAGCCTATGGCAGCGCTGTGCTTGTGACACCCCGGGGGCTCTTTTCATCTGAAGATTTTCTGCTGCATTTGCTGTCTTTGGGTGGAAGCTGTCTCAAAGGAGAAAAAAAAATTGTTGGCTCATGACATATTCATTTGACGTAATACTTAAAAATATTTTCCTTTAGGTTGTCCCCAGACTAAATATGGCACCAACTGTGAGCTCAAATGTATGTGTAGAAATGGTGGACTCTGCAATCCTGAGGATGGAAGCTGCACCTGCGGCCTGGGGTGGACCGGGGAGCACTGTGAGAAAGGCAAGCTGATTCCTTCTTAGCCTCACCAAGTCCATTTTAGGGCTCACCCTTATGGGGTGCTGAGTAGAGACCTATGAAGCAGCTACTTTCCAATAACCTATTTATAATTATGATCATATTTTTCATAAAACTGTGTAAATATTGATCACTAGTCATTACCTATTTCTAGACAATCGCAGGAAAACTCTGAAACATCTTAAATTGAAATAGTATTGATGGGAGCAAAATTTCCCTGAGACCTCAATTCCACGTTTTATCCTAAAGCCCAAAGCCACTATGAACATTGCATTGGCTGCCCCTCAAGGTTTTCAGCAGGGGACAGAAGAGAACCACACTCGTGTAGGACTTGACAAATGGTTAGAAGATACGGACCTCTGGGAGAGAAGTGGGTGTGTGTCTCAGGACTGGTGGCTCCTGTCCTTAATCTCAACACTGTGGAGACTGAAGGGAGCTGGATTCTAAGTACAGCCTTGGCTGTGTAGCAAAACATGAAATATGAATGGCTCTCCCCACTACTGTTCTGCATTCTAGGGGTTTTGTTGGTGTTCTTACTTATTTATTCTTCCAAATTAATGTTATAATCATTCATCTAGGAAAAATGCTTTGGCTGTTCCATTGTACTGTGTGTTTTCAGAAAAAAAAAAAACCAATGCATTCTGAGGTTAACTTATGTAACATGAAGGGGCCTGCTAGTTGTTGGGGTTTTCTGTCCTGCCCGGTACCCCCCAACTGTTTAACAACAAAGAAAATTACACATAGGTCTTCATAAATTATAAGCTGATTGTCCCATTAGCTCTATCCTCTCACTGGCTAACTCTCACATCTTGATTAACCCATTTTTCAGATCTATGTTAGCCATGTGGCTCAGTACCTTTTTTCAGTGGGGCAGATGACATCCTTCTGCTTCGGTGGTCTGGGCAAGAGTGAGAGTAATAATTTTCCTCCTTCCCAGAATTCTCCTGTTCTCACTACATCATTTCTACTTCCTGTCTGGTTTTCCCACCTATACTTCCTGCCTGGCCAATCAGCGTTTATTTAAAACATGATTGACAGAATACAGACAATTCTCCCACACCAAACTCATTGTATTCAAGAACAAATAATACATCCTTTATCCCTCTTTTTATATTCCTTATCAATAAAGACCCTGACCTTAGAATTCACATTAAGATATTCAAGTTAACAAGCAAATAACTAATTTTCTAATATATGAAATACCCAACTATATTTTAGTGAATTTATTGCAAGGCCTTTTCTTCATCAAAGTAATTTATTATATGAGTTCTTTTTAGTCTCATAGCATATGTGATACGATATTAATGAATTTCTAATAGTAAGTGGCCTTATATTCCAAGAATAAATACTGTGTGATGAGGATTAACTATTTCATAAAGTGCTACTGGATTCTATATACATATATATTCTATGATTTTGGTATTGATATCCAAGAGGAAAATGGAGCTGTTTTATATGCAACCTTTTCCAGTTTGTAAAATTGATGTTCCACATATTCAGTGAAAAGCATTTGGAAATTTCCTTCCTCTTTCAACGTTCTGAAATATTCTAAGTTGAGATGGTGCCCTGTCTAGTGAATGCTTGTGGATGGCGCCCTGCCTAGTAAACATTTATAGAATCCCTGTGAATCTGGAGAGTACTTTCTTTCTCTCTCTCTTTCACTCTCATTCAATGTAAGAACTGTTACTATAATTTCTTATCTAGGTTTTCTGCCTCAAATTAGGATGGTTTGGGTAAGTCATTCCCTATAGCATTATCCATTTCATTTAATTTTGGAATTTTATTTATATTATGATTTTCATATTTGCAAACTGGATTGTCATTTTCTTCATCTTTAAAAAAATGTGTGTGTCTATGTCTGCATGTGTGCACAGGGGTGTTTTGCCTGAGTGTGTGTCTGTGTACTGGAGGGAAGAAGAGGGGATTGGATATACTATAACAGGAATTACACATGGTCTGCGACAGTGATGTGCTGTGTGGAAGCTGGAATCTACACCTAAGTCTTCTGTAAGAGCAACCAGTGTTGCTAACCACTGAGAAACCTCTCTTTCCCCTTCCTTCAATCTTTTAAACAATGTAAGGTGCTGTGCTTTGTTCGTTTCCGGGTTGCTGGGTTGGAACCCGCCCCCATATTTGTGCTAGACACACCCTCTACCACAGTGGTCCTCAACCTCCCCAAAGCTGTGACACTTTAATACAGTTCTTCATGTTATGGTGACCCCACCCATAATTTTTTTTTTGCTACTTCATAACTGTAATGTTGCCACTGTTCTGAATTGTAATGTAAATGTCTGATATGCAGTGTATCTGATGTTGGGAGGTCAAGACCCAGGGGTTGAGAATTACTGTTTACCGCATACCCAGCCTGTGAGTTCTCTATTTTAATTTGATTAGTTGGTGGTTTATCTGTACTCACATTACAGTAACTAATGACAGTTTTTTTTATCTTTGAACTTATTAATTTTTAACTGTCTTTTGACAAATCCTAATATTTTGACGTTTTCTTCCTCAGCATGTTCTCCTGGTAACTACGGGCCAGACTGCAAATTCAATTGCTCATGTCAGAATGGTGGTGTCTGCAGCCGGCTGTCTGGGGCCTGTGAGTGCCCCGAAGGGTTCTATGGACGAGGCTGTGAACACGGTAAACAGCAGAGGCTTCTCTATGTTTTCTGTGTGGAGGTTCTAAGCTCCAAAATGATTTTAAATCATAGAGATAATATATTCATATTATATCAAATTACACAAACTTTCAGTGTATGTTACTGTAAGCTGAGTAAGTTTCACAGCTCAAATTAAAATTTCAGACTTTAACAAGTACCATGAAGAAAAACAAATGGACTTCAAAAGTCTTTAGGCTTTTCTGCCATTAATGGACTTAACAATCCATTATTACTTGGAGGTACTCGTGACAGACAGACACCCCATGAACCAGCTGTGAGTTTGTCTAAGCAGGGATGCTCTTTACCCAGCTGCCTTTGGACAATAATGGATGGAAGTCCTGCTTATAATCCATGTTAGCTGTGACTCGCTTCTGAAAGACCTGGCCCCACCTTGTCTTTCAAAATAGTTTCTAATATTGTTGCTATATCTGCACTCCATATTTGCAACTCAGATTGGAAAACAAGAAGCTCATGACTTGGCACCTGAGAGTGATGGACAGTATCACTCAGCGGGCATAGGGTTTGTCCTAGACAGCCAACTTGTGCTGGCTTTATCATCCGCATAGTGAATTAATAAAGGTAACCACGAGGACCAAATAAGAAATCATGTTTAAGCACAGAGCATGGAGGTGGGTGGCCAAAAGCTTGGTGTATATTAGCTGCTTTCAAAGCAAAGGCCTTTCTGGGCTGTCTGAAAGGCTGTTGACCATGGTCCTACCCTTTCAACCTCAGGAGTAGGAATGAGCATCACCCAGCATTTGGTGATTCAGACTCTTATAACTAATCTGATGTTTTAGGGCTAAGGATGAAAAATCAGGCATTTTGTGAGTTTTGTTCATTTGGTTTCTTTACATTGTTTTTAAAATATAAATAAGAGGAAGAAAGAAAAATGGTATTGATTAGAACCCATTACATTTATGCTATAGGTTTATCAAAGAATGTTTTAGATTAAAGAAATACCGCCAAGGTGAGATAACCAAGAAGTGTGGGTATGTCGCTGTTTATCAAGGCAACCGGGTCAGCCTGGTTGGTATTCGGAGGGGGGTGGGGGGAAGATAGAATCCTGTTATGGTCCTGAATAGCATCACAGCTGGAAAGGAAGTGTTTAGATACTGGAGTTTTGGGGGAATGGTTCCCATTCAACCCACAGGCTAGGATGTGAAACTGAGCTGGAGTGGGAAGAAAACGGAAACTCACAAATGAAACAACACGTCGGGATAACAATCCGCTGCAATGGTGAAGGAGGAATAAAAAGATACATCTAAATTTCCAGTTTGAGCAACTTGGGAAAATTAGATAATTTAGTGAAAGGGAAACACAAGCAATGCAAACATTATCCTTCAGTTTATATAGAAGTAAAGAAAGGAAGACAAGGATCTGATCATTCTGTTTATTCTCTAACAACATTTATAAGGAAGACACAGGGATCTGACCGTTCTGCGTATTCTCTGTCTAATATTCATAAAATCAAAGGAAGACACTCTCCATTTCCTTTCACTCAACACTTACAATGAGATCAGTAAAGGGAACGTTCGCATTAATTAGTTCCTTTTGTATTTCCTGGTTTTCCTTTGCCCTGCTGGATGACTTTTCTAAATTGTCCCATGTTGTGCACATTGGAGAAGCATCATCCACATTGTAAAAAATCAAAATAAAAAATTTCACCCTTACGTGCCTAAAAAGGAGATGAGCGAGAGGGCTTGGGTGATTAGGGGAATAATGAGCAACGGTCAAGTGAGTGGACCTTGTAAATAGACGAGTGACCACACCAGAGGAAACTCAAGGAAGGAAATGGGAAATTTTATCCACAGTCAAGGGCAGCTCCTGCTACTCCAAGGTGAGCATCTCTGTGGGAAGATAAGTTTGTCCTATAAGAAAATGTTGACTGGGGTTCACAGTTCCAGGAGATAAAACAAACACTCCCTCAGAGGCCCAGGCTCAAAAATATCAATCTTTTCCCAACTTGGAACTAAGATAGAGTTTGGATTTACTATGATAACTCTATTTTCTACTTAGGAGAATACCCAAAGAAATTTTTCAAAGATTAAATCCCACAAACTATAAAACCTAACTTACTCATAAAATGCCAACCTACTGTTTATACAATATGTTTTCTGTCTTCTTCTTCTTTGCCCTTCTTCATCCCTTCCTGTTTCCTTCATGCTCATCTGCTGGGGGTCAGATCCCCAGATTTCAAATACAAAGGCTATGTACATTATTTTTCACACACAATGTTTTATTTCTTTAAGGAATTAATTCAATATTAGTGTCACTATATTTAACCTGAATCAGAGGTTTAGGGTTAGGTTTTAGATGCTTTAATTCCTCTTCTGTTTGTATGATAAAGTAATGAGTGGAGAAAGAGCTTGCCCTGGCTCATAGTCCCACAAGGATGCCATCTATCCCAACAAGGAGGATTTAGATTAGGAATCACGGAGCAGGAGACTGGCTGGTCATATTGTATCTACACTCAGGAAGCAGAGAGTGAGCAGAAAGGGAGCCAGGCATGATGCCAGTGTCTCTCTGGTAGATTCCAGCTCCTAAAGATTCCACAAATTTCCCGAACAGTACGACCAGTTAGTGAGCCTATGGTGCATTATGTGCACCTATGGGGACATTTCACCTCTAAACAACAAAGGGACGGTTGTGGTGCTCTTTGGGCAACTACAGTACAGCAAAGCAAACTGACATTATTGAGATATTTCAGATCTTCTCATGGGCTTTGCCAGGTTTAGACATACTATCAACCCATTTTTTATGATTAATCTCTTGTGTGATTCCCCGTACATCTAATTCTTCCCTTTTACATCATTTTTTAGGCTTGATAGACACATGAACTAGATTATATCCTTTAGTCTTTCCTTCCAGTTTGTTTTTAAGCTAAAGATTACATTGTGACATTTCTGTCTTCTAGAATGTCCTCCTGGATTTCATGGTTTTAATTGTGCTCACACCTGTGACTGCCAGAATGGAGCCAGGTGTGATGTAGCAAGTGGACAGTGTGTTTGCCCAGCAGGTTTCCATGGCAACCATTGTGAGCAAGGTATGGTAAGTGTGTTTTAAGGCATGTCTATGAGAGGTCCCTGTGAGCATGTGGTCTTCTGATTTATTCATGAACATGAAAACCTGAGTCAAAACTGGTCACCTATGCTTTCAATACATAATTACACTATAAAGAATATATACAGCCGACAGTATAATCAGATTCCCCTTTTGTTCAAAATATTGTTCTCTCATGTAATATCACAAAATGAAAGCTGAAAGTCATTATAGGCAAGGATAATACCTCTGAATAAGATTCAATATTTCGTGTAATGCTTGGTATAGCAATCTGACATACCTGCCTGGCTTTGTGGTATTGAGACGGATCAGAGGATTTGTGTAAATATTTAAAGATGAGAATTGAGCATTGATCACAAAGTAACCACAGTTATAAATGTGTATGAAATATGAAATAATAAAGGCTAATCACCTTGAAATAAAATATCACAAAGTCTTAAAAGATTCTGTCAATTAAAATGTTTCCAGACACCTAAGAGTATCACTGTGGTCACATCAGATACAACTTCTGTATAAAGTTATAACAATGATGATGATGGTGATGATGGTGATGAGGATAAAGATGATAAATAATATTACAGGGATCATGGTAATTTAATTCTATATAGTGAATCAAAATTCCTGCCTATGAACATTTCAAATAGTCCATCTATTTGTTCAAACAATATTTTAAAACATCACCACAGCTTGATATCTATTATTGTTTGTTCATCTTTTATTCATTTAATATTTAGTAGTTCAATAAGATAGAAACTATTATCTGCATATTTCTGTGTTAAATTCTGGAAATACAAAGGGAAGTATGGAGCATACATCATTCTTTAAAGATTAACAATACATTATATGTTAATAGAAATAGTAAGAGTTGTACACATGGTCTGATTTCTTAAGATTTTTCAGAAAAGTTTACTTACATTCTAGAACACCATGAACCAGTGTCAACGTAAATAAGCTTTGAGAACAGGTTGTTAAATCAGTCAGACAGTGGATCTTGCCTCTGAGAATTCCCAAAACGTCTTCTACTGAACAGCAAAACCCCACTTGCTCTCCTTTGCCATCTACTATTGAATCTTATGAACATCTGTTTAATATGAATTTGTGTATTCTCTCAGATGTTCAGCCACAAAATGTTGATCCTTATCAAACCTGCAGGTAATACAGAGTATTCTGGACTTGCTAAGATAACTCCTTTTTCCACTTAGAAGAGTATCTGAAGAAAATTTTGCATGTGATAATTCGAGGGTTAATATTTCAGCATGTCTCTATCCTCTGTAGAATGTCCACCTGGAACATTTGGGGACAATTGTCAACAATCTTGTGACTGTGAAGGAGAAAGTTCTTGCCACCCAACCACAGGAAAATGCCTCTGCCCACCAGGGAGGGCAGGAACCAGATGTGACACAGGTATGACCAACAAACAAAAATCCAGAGGGAACAGGGATCCACAGATGCCTCGATCTAGAAACGACACTCTATAAAAGAGAATTGCCCAACAATGCTTCCTAGTAACTTCAGTTTGAGCAGGCACCATTTGTAGCTGTTACATCATATGTCCTTCACACCAATACCTTGCTTAACACAATTCCTTGCAGAGACACAATGAATAGATGGTGATTGTAAAAACCCACTAGAACAAAAAGTAGACTATCTAGGTAGCATTCTCTGAATCCAAGAACCCAGATTGTCTTTGGGAATTGATATTTATACTTTGTTTTCCTTCCCACCCACAGAAAGAATGACCCAGAATGTAAGGTTATAGTAATTTAGCAACTGCCAAAAGAAGATGGGAGAATGGGTTGAGTCAATTGACGACAAATCTCCTGCAGTGTGACTTGATGGATGATTTTAGATCAAAAGGTTTATATAATTCACCTCAGACCCAAGACACTGAGCCACCTCCGATAAGACCCCACATAGAATGTTTAATCTCCGAATTTACTTTGCTTATCTTCAAAAGAACCAGGCTAAGGTTACATATTGTTAAGGCCCATTCAGGCACTTGTCGGCTATGAGCTCGTGGCCTCTGTAATGGCGAGAGAGCCATGCTGGCCTTCCAAGCTTCAAAAGATTTCTATTCCCCCAGCATCACTTTACATCCCAGCTCTCTTCTGAGCAATATCAATAGCAGCTGCTTTCCTGGAGTGAAGGCAGCGTTCTAAAAGCATTGCCTTTGTTTAATGCATCCCACTACCCCAAGACGTTGTCTATGTTTCTATTGCTATTGGATAAAGTGGGATACTGAGGACCTAAGTTAGCAGACAATAGTGTGTGTGTGTGTGTGTGTGTGTGTGTGTGTGTGTGTGTGTGTGTTGTGTGTGTGCCAAGCAGGCACACGGGCGCACACATGCTTAGAATAGATTCTGGCACATAGTAGATACCCCAACAAGCATTTGTTGAAAGAATTCTTGTTTTGTCAGAGACATGGTGGATGGAAGTTGCTGTACTCTGTCATATCTGAAATTATTCTGCCAGAACAAATATCTAAGATACGTATGCCATTCACAGGAAAGGTCATGAAAATAGACACACCTACAGCATTTGTGGCCCCAGCCGCACAGTGAGGGAATGCCCATTGTTTGTTCTGCATAGATTCCCTTACTGCCCTCACCCTTCTCATATGATAGAGCCGGAAGAAGACATCCCCAGAAAGTAATAAAGTTCAGCTATTTGCCTATGTTGCACAACAAGTCAATGGCAGATTTGAGATTTCAAGGAGGAAGTCTGGGTTCAGAGATAGAGTGTTCCATACGAAGGCCTTCTTTTGTGGAGATTTTATATTGCACCTCTCTTGATGAAAAGCTTTGAGGGATTGATGCTGCCTGTCTGTCTGAATGCGTGTGAGACACAACAGTCATGAACTTCATGTCACTGCTTAATTAACTTAAAATCCCCCTGTTCCAACTCACAGGAAACCTCTTCATCCTCAGTGCCCACTGATAGTTATTGGCTGAAGTATTGGGTAATAGAACGTAAAAAAAATCCAACATTGCAGAAGGCTCTAATAGATGGCACTTGTAAGAGATGAGCTCTGTGAATAAAAGCATCTGTACCACATCCTGACAGTCTAAGACCTATTGCTGGTTCCAGGTAAAAAGACAGATACCAAGGGTGCACTCTTGTAAGAAACAGAAGGCAGAGACAGGAGAACCAGTCCAAAGCTCGTGTGCCAGCTAACCTGACAAACAGGAGACTTTCTGCTTCAGAAACAAGTGGAAAGGCAAGGACTAATTCGTCAGACTCGTCCTCGGGTCTCCCACATCCTGTGGGGCACACAGTACTCACACCTGTCTCACACCTATGCACTCAGTGGATGATAGCAATGTCAGGGCAAACAGGATGGCTTAGTGGGTAAGAGCGCATGCTGGTGATCCTGACAGCCTAGGCCTTATTCCTAGTCCTACATCGTAGACGGTGAGAACTGACTCTGGGAAGTCATCCTCTGACCTTAAACCGTTTGTGTCCCATCCCCCCCCCACATACACATACACACACACACGCACACACGCACACACACATATACACACACACCAACATACACACACATGCACACACACATATACACACACATCAACATACACACTCACACACCCACATACACATGTACACGTACACACAGCAGGGAGAATAAATAAACTAAAAGCATGATTGAAAAATTAGAAATATGAAAAATTAGAAATATAAAATAACACTAGACACCAAACATGGCAACATATGGCAGTTAGGACAAGGTAAGGACTTGCACACTCTGTGTGCCCTCTGTGTGCCGTGTTCCAGAGTTCCTTGTTACGTGTGAGAAAATTACAAAATGCCATGACTCCGATGTGGTAACCGTTCTCCATGGAACCTTGAGAGTCTTCTTGCCAGGGACTCTCGAGGCCCCGGGCGTGTATAGATGGACTGCAAGGTCTTTTACTTGCACTTTTATTCTCAATTAGTTACAGTTCATCTGCACTAGTAACTGTGAGCAGCTGTGTCGAGGCAGTCTCCATAAAGATAAAAGGCCTCATTTTAACTTAACTCTGGTAAAGGACCTATTAAACAGCCATAATATTAATTCATAAAAGAATGTAGCAACTTTTTATTGGATCATTCACCCCTCCCCTTGGTAAATTGACATTTGCAGACATTCAAACAGATGTCTTAAATACACATGGTTATTAACATGGAAATGTGGTATTTTTATAAATTAAAATCAGATTCTCCACTGCTCAGGAGAAATCCTGACTAATAACTCTTTTGAACAAAAAAAAAAAAATGTGGTCTTACCACCAAACTGCAAGGTCTTGCAAGACTCTGGGCAGAGCTCATGCGTTGAGCTCGCTTTGAAATGATGTGGTTTTTTTTTCTTTAACTTTCCACAGAGTCTAAAATTTAGAGGACAGATTCATCTTTATTTTTATTGAATTTATTTGTTGTTTGTATATGCACACATGAGCATTGTGGTGATATGGTGGGTATGCACGCTGAGGTCAAAGGACAACTCATGGGGGTCCTGGGGTTCGAACTGGCGTAACCAGACTTGCTAACAGGAGCCTTAAAGACCTGAGCCATCTCACTGGCCCCAAATGCATTTGTGAGCAGCTTCCGCATTGCTGGTCCAGTGTCTCCCTGAAGGACACTGGTTCTTCTGCTTAATGCTGAACCATCAAGAAGATAGTTCATTGAAGCTTTGGTTTATATTTCTACTTCATATTTAAAGTCTAATTGAGCAAGACAAGAAAACTACTGGGCTTTTTAACCTGCCTGCATAGTGCAAGTCAAAACCAAAATCAATAGTAGTGAAAATGCCCATGAAGGACTTCTGAAGGAACCCGGAGATAGTTTAGGGAGCAAGCAGATGCATTTGCTGCACAAGCCTGAGTATCTGAGTTCGATTCCCAGAACCTATTCATAGTGGAAGTGTGACCAGGAAGTGGCTAACTGCCATAGTTTGACTGTGGCACATGAGCAACCACATTTACACACACAATGAGGAATAAAATAAGATCAATAATTTATGAGGGTCCCATCTTTAATCTATCATAGGGCATATTGGAGCAATAAAGATGTATTAAAGAAAAATGTCTCCAAGGGCTCTAGGACCACATTCTCTCTAGAATCACATCTTTGTGTTTATGTTGGGCTTTTCCAAGCTTTCTCACTTTCCAGCCTTAACTCTCAGTTAAGCTTCTGAATATGCTTAATGTTTTTGCTTTCACGTAGTTAGGCAAAGGAGAAAAGACCCTTTGGTATTTATTCAGAAACTCAGCCCTGCACTCTGCAGGAGTATGAGGTAGACAGAGACTGTTGTGGACCACACCAAACCTGTCCATTTCTCTACAGAGCGGGAGGGCTTCCTCACTGCCTTGCCCACCTTGCAGACATTTGCTGAAAGCAAATGAGGTCATTCGCTAATAACTCACTTAGAAATTGTTTCTTTTCTATTTTGACATTATAATGTAATTACGTCATTTCCCCGTTCACCTTCCTCCCTCCAATCCTTCCCATATATCACACCTTGTTCCATTTCAAATTCTCACTTTTTATTCTGTAGGCTGGGGCAGGCGGGGGGGTGTTACAATAACAGAATTGGGTTCTCTAGTCCTCGAATACTTGTTAGTTGCTTCCTGTTCTGGGAAGCGTGAATCTACTTCCTTTCCTGGGTTGTGCAACTCTTTTTTCTTGTCCTCAGTCCCGCAGAAAATGAATGTGTTTATTCTCTGCTAATTCTCTGTACAACAGACTAAGTGCCCAAATATCAGCTTGCCCCCTTCGAGTCCTCTCTTTTAAATAGCTCTAATAACGCCCAGCCCTCCAGTCCACCCCCTTAACTGCCCTTCTCTTGGTGGGCACGATACAATTCAACTTACAGACTCTTTGAGCCCTTTTAGTGCGTTCACAACACCAGGCACATTGGGGATCTACGGCCCCTTTGACATATTTTAAGAGACAAGAGTCGAATATAAAGCCATTTCACTTTCAACAACACAAGCACACAAAATCATGCTTTTAACCTAAAGAAAAACCTCCCGCATTGAGCATTCGGAGGGAGCGTTGACTTTTTCTGACCCCAGGCAGCTAATCCATTTCCGTGTCCCACACAGTGCAACGACTATAAATGTTATGGAGTAATCAGTTTCTGAGAAGGCTCTTTAGAAATAGAAGTTGCTATCCTCACTTTCCCTCTGCCCAATTCTTCTCAATAACTTCCTCCACGCGCCCACCCTCCCGTCTGCCACCCGGGGACTTTTTCTTGCTTTTATGACATAGCATGCTAGCACGAAGGAAAGGTACCACAGAGGAAAACAGATTTTTTTTTTCCTCCGAGACTCTCATTATCTCGTTCATTTCCAAAAAGTAATTGTGTAGTTGAAAGCATGTTTGAGTTGTTTCGTTTTTTCCTTCTTGCCCCACAGAATGCCAGGCAGGCTACTATGGACCTGACTGCAGGCTGCGGTGTGAATGCTCGCAGGGAGCTCGCTGCAACCCAGTCAACGGCAGCTGTGCTTGTCCCAGGAGAAGAATGGGCCCAACCTGTGAGGAGACACAGCCAAAGACCCACAGTTCTTCCGAAGGTGAATAGAATCTCTTTTGCAGTTCCTCACGGTTTTTCGTCGTAACCCTGACGAGGAAATACACAGTCCCTGGTCTCCTTCCGACATGGAGCATCAGGAAGGGAAAAGGTGACACCTTCAGTTTTCCACCCCTGTGCCCAATTCTCCAGCCCAACCTGTGAACTTCCTTTCCCCGAAGGACACACTCCAAAAGGAGAAAAGGAAAGGAAAAGAAAAAGAGTATTTGTTCAGGATCCGAACCACAGTAACATTTGAACTAATAAAGGGCGCTTTTTAGAAAATTTGTGCACGGCAGTATTTGAATTTGGAAGGGATAACTGCTTCGTACTGCAGGTTGGGCTGCACTGAAATATTCACACCTATTCACTGGAAACCCCAGGACCCTTAAGTAGCTGGATCCTCTTTAGAAACGGCTAGAATTTCATCCATTTGTTCGCAGAACCTACTTCCCGGTAACTCTGCTGCAGACTTCAAACACACTGCATTTTGTTCATGACTTTTAATGTGGGAGATTATTAAGATTTTAGCCCATGGAGGATGGGATCAGAATAAAAACATGACACGCATGTGAACAGTGAGTCATGAAAATGTTAGTGGTGTTTTCCGTCTCCAGTCAGCACACAGGGAAAACAAGGGCAGAGCCCATAGGGCCAAGACCTGGCTGCCTCTGGGGATGCTCTGTTTCCCGTAATTCAGGAATAAATTGAATAGCCTTAAAACCCAAATTACTCATCATTTCCAGCAGCTCCTAGTCTTTTATGAGTGGAAGATGGGGCCAGTGTGCTCTGGCTTCCAAGGAGTTCGATATGCATTTTTTTCAGAATCCTGGCTAATCGTACTAGTAAATAATAACTTTGTCGACTGAAAATGCTGCTCAAGAATTTTCAGAATAAAAGCAGAGACTTTGACTATTGAAATGATATGACTTGAGTTTACTTTTGTGAAGTGACTAGAGTACCTTTTAACATTCAAAACTGATTTTGGATAAAATTGCTGGAAAGATCTATGAAGAATACTTGTCGTCGTTAATTCAGCGGTGTCGTTGGTTTGCAGGTAACCTTGACTCCCACAGTTGTTTTTCTCGTCATTCTGGGGTGGAAAGGCAGAGCCTCTTCCATGCCAAGCATGCGCTTTGCTGCTGAGCGGCTGCCTTCACCCTTCCTCAGCACATCAAAACATGTGTAACATACCTGCTGAAGGAAGATGTGGCAAACTAAAGGTGACTAGATGATATACAGGCTTTGATGAGCTCATTCTCTATAAATTTAATCTGACCCTGAAAGAGGCATGTTCAACTTAGTTTCTGTTTTTTTTTCATATTAGCAATTAAAGTTGTATATTTTCAAGCATTGAGCTACTTAGGTCAATGTAGCAGTAATGCTACAGCTAACGGTTCAGATTAACAGAAAGCCAGGCTCTATTCTGAACCCATTTCCTTACCAGGTGTTTTCCAGACTCTCTAAAATGTTACCTTGTAATCCTCAGAGAAATCAGCATAAAAGGCAGTAGGAGGGTTGAGGGATGGCTGAGCATTAGCATTTGGACCAGAGTATGGGTTCTCAAATATGGCTTAAATATGGCTCTCTGGTGCAATGGATAGCACATTGGACTTCTAGTAACAAAAACCCACTTAAATGCCAGCTGAGCACAGTGGCTACAGCCTCAGTTACAAGGTGGAGATGGGAATCCCTGGAGAGAACTGGCAGCTGGCCAAGACTCATCAGTAGGATCTAGGTTCAATAGAGAGACCCTGCCTCAAAGAATAAAGTGGAGAGGAATCACGGAAATTTTCCAGTGTTAACCCAGGCTTCCCCATGCACACTATATGCACAGGAGCATGTGATCTTGTGGACACTCACAGACACTCACACATTTGCTTACAATACACACACACACACACACACGCAATGTTTTTTGTTTTGTTTTGTCTTTTAAATCAGCAGTGTGCAGTCCTGGGTTAGCATCCCTTTCTTGCTCTGGGCTCCTACTTCCCCACTTGCTAAAGGTGGCAGCTGTAACAGGAGAGGAGCCCAGAATTGCATTTCTTGTCCTCACTTGAGGTTTTCTCTCCACTGAGAGAGATGACAGACTCCGAGTTTGATAAGGAAAAGCAATGAAATTTCTTTCTGCCTGTATTTGCTTTTGATGCATAAGACCCGTGTCTTTGCAAATGAGAAGCTGTTAGTAAAATGTTAAGCACAACTCTGGGAAAATGTCAGGTGCTTCACATTTCCCCTTCTACTCCATTCCACCTCAAACACCAAAGAAATAAATGTAAAAGATTATGAATGAAATGCAACTCGTAGCATGAATTTGCATGACTCATTGTTGTTGTTGTTTTGAGACAGGGTCTCACCATGCAGCTCTGGCTACCCTGGAGCTCACTATGTAGAGCAGGTGTTTTCTGCCTCTTGAGTGCTGGAACTAAACGCCAAGTGCCACCACATCTGGATTGCATGACGCTGTAGACAAACTAGGTTTCACCTTCCTTCTTGCATGAGCAAGAACTTAGGAAAAACACCTTAGATCCGCTTCTTTGTAAAAATTTGCAAGGTGCGTCTTTCACATTAAAAATGAAACCAGAAAAAAAAATGAAATCAAAATATTTCTGGTGTACTCTTGGTCACCTCGAAAAAAAATCTTTGGTTTTTTTTTTTGTTTTTTTTTTTTTTTTTTTTTAGTCAGATTTATAGCAATACTAAGCAAATACTCTAAATCTATAAATCTATAGCAAGTACTAAGATGATCAACTTAAGAAGAAAATAATGTTTAATTTGTTTGTTTAGTTTCCACTGCTGCAACTCTTTGGACCTGTTGCCTTCAGGCCTCTAGTGGGGGCTACTTATTATTGAGGAACACACGGAATTGCAGATTTGTGCATGGCATCTGCTTATTTGTGATCAGGATGGAAAAGTTAGGTAATGGAAGCCTTCGAGATGCTTTCACTTTCTTCAGCAGGGCCAAACCAATGACTTGAAGACTGTTTATAGGCCTTGCATATTAAACCTCCATCACCTTCAGGTAGCACCATCATGGCATCAAGGTCTTACCATGGTCAGCTCTGAGGACCACATGGGGTGATACTCTGCAAATGAGGAGACGGTAGCTCATGTCATCCCTCCTAAAAACCACATGTCTTCTGTTGGAGGATAACATGAACAACAAATTAACATTTAACAAACAAATTGAACATTTTTCTTCTTAAGAAGATAGTTTTAGTATTTGCTATAGTAATCAAAAGAGGACTAATAAAAACCCAAAGAAATTGTTTTTTCAAGGTGACCAGAAGTGCACTGGAAATTTGGTTTCAAACATTTTTTTTTCTCATTTCATTCTTAATGTGAAAGAGGTAAGAGGTAACTGGTAAGTTTTTACAAAGAAGGGGAGCTATGGTGATTTGCATAAGTTCTTGCTGACTGGTAAAATAAGGAAAATTATTAAGAGCAAGATATCACAGGTGGACTAACGAGCAATCAGTATTAATCTGAAGAGAAGTCACAGTACAAAGTGTACAAAACCTAATTTTCCTGCAGATGGCTTTAAGAGGATTAAACAATTTTTATAAATGACGACCACTTTTAACAATACGTCATTTAAGAAATGAGTCTATTGAAACTCCATGTTTTTTAAAACAAAGGGAGCATACCACTCATTTTCACACAATAAGCGTTTACCTGCGGTTTCTCCACACAAAAAGCTAAGCAGGGGCTGGAGAGATGGCTCAAGACTAAGAGAACATGCTGCTGCGAAGGATGGATCATAGTGCCCAGGTGAGGCGGCTAAGGACCACCTAGCATTCCCGTGCAGGAGATCTGATGTTCCTGGAATCTGCCAGCACCCACACTCATGTGCACACACCTTCCCCCGACTAACGCACATACACATATTTTAAAATAACTTCAACCCTTTGAACAATCTACGCAGTTCCTGAGAACTGTGATTTGACTAGCACGCTGTAATTTCTACAATGCTGTAAAGAATCTAGCTATTGTTTAAAATGGCCCATAATTTAATAGACACATCCTCCTCAAGCTAAAGTTCAATGTAAAATTAGAGTCCTTGTCATTGGGATAATTTACGTATTCCAACTCCTGTTTCTCTTCACTGTATAACCTGTCCTTTGAATGCAGAGAGGCTGATCCTTGAAGGCAGTATATCCACTCATAATATTTAACCTCTTTACAGAAGTGCCCGTGCGGCAAAGTCTCAGGCTTCCCATTTGAAACACAAGATCAGAGTGGGGATTATTATGCTTTTCTACAATAATATAGCTCCAGTTTCAAGAGAAGAGGGCAGAGGCATGGACATGTGCTTGCTAATTTAAGTCTGCGTCGACATGCCTGAGCTATACCATTTCAGCATAGCACCTAACTGTCCCTGCATTCTCTGACTTTTATATTCATTTATTGCGTTTTTCAGAAGAGGCAGCCTTTTGACATGGGTTAAATTATTTTTAGAGAACTTGGAAATCGTTCCAAAACTTAGTGGCAGGAAGGCATTTCCTTTGTTAGAAACAGGAAGGAGGTTTGGCCTCTGCTGGGCCTCCTTCACCTCGGTTTCTTCGGGACGCAGGAATAGAGATGTGGCGAGAATTTAAAAGAGCATTTTGATGAAGCAAGCAAATACTAGCAAGTGTCTTACGCTCTGGAAGTTGTGTTTGCAGTCCAGTTGAAATAACATTTCATGGCTCTGTAATAGGAAAAGAATAAAAAAGAGTATAGCTGAGCTTTTAAAATAGTTTTCAAAAAGATTCCAAAATTTGCCCCTTTTAGCTAATCATGTGGAAACTGTATTCAGCTTTCCTCTTGAAATTCCAGTGTTTCTAAGTAAAAGGATGCCAAGACAAATAACAAAAGTCTAAACTATATGCTTGAAAGGGATAGACACCTTCCCTTTTTCTAAATTAGTTTTAATTTTGTTTATGTATAGGTAGATGGATGTGAATGTGCCCATGGATGCAGATGCCCCAGGAGGATAGAGACATTGCGTATCCGTTGAGCTAGAGTTACAGGTAGTTGATGTCTACCTGATGGGGGTGCTGGAAACCTAACTCAGACCTTCTTGAAGAACAGTAAACACTCAACCACCGAGTCTTCTCTCCAGCCCTAACACACTTCTTTTATTTGGGGGGAGGGATACAACCTGAAGATCAGACAAGCAAACCTGCCAAACCACTAGAGAAATCTTCAGACTGAAAAAGGGTGCGTTCCTGTCTCATCCTGATTTATATTCCTCTCTATTGCTGGGATTAAAGGCTTGCACCAGCACTGCCTGCCCTGTATGGCTGACTGGTGTGGCTGCTGGGATTAGAGGTGTGTGCCTGCCCTGTATGGTTGACCAGAGCACACCTCTTCCTACACTCTTCCAAATACTGACCATATTCTCTCACTACTAAATCTTATGTCATTAATGAAATATTTAACCATTTCATGTTTTAATGTTATGTAAAAATGCTTTAAAAATACTCTTCACATTTAAATAAATGCATATAACTCTTTACACCCTCAAGTGTCAGCCCTCCAATGTGATGGCAAC